GTTCCGGGCCGCGGGCGAGGGCGGAAGGGCCCTCCTGGCGGGCGGGCGAGCTGAGTGCGGCCTGCCCCGCACGGGTACCGCGAAGCCTGGGCCTTGGGGATCTGGCGTCCCGGCAGCCGTCACGACCAACCCGCGGGGCTGCAGTCCGGCCGGTGGCCCGCAGCTTCTCTCTCAGGAACGACACGTGGGTAAATCCCGGTTTGAGGGGCCACCCTTCCAGCCGCAGAGCCTCTAGCTTCAGCATCTGTGTCGCAGTTCTCCAGCCCGCTACTCTCCGCGGTGGCCTGGGCCTGGGCGTGGGGGCGAGGGGGCAGGTGCGGGTAGCTCTGGGTTCGGCTCTAAGCTGGCCTCCTTTCTCCAGATCCCGGGGGGGCTCTCCAAACGACGCTGGGAAAGTGGCCCGGGCCTCGAGCCCCGCGATGCTAGAGGAGATGCAGAGCCGCACCTGCCCTGGCGGGAATAGACGTGGCCAGGAAGATGTGACGGACAGGATGTCGTCCCACCCTTGGGCCTGGAGGACGATCGTGGGTGGGGAGAGGGGGTTTGGCTGCGCTGACCTGGCTCTTTCCTGAGGGTCCCTTTCCCGAGATGTCTGCATAATCCCAGCGGCAGCCTCTCCGATGTTGGAAACATTTCACCTCCTCACCCGCTGGCTACATAGTGGTGTGGGATCCTCAGGGCCTGAGATCTACTTCCCGAGAGTGTTAGCTGGAGGCCGGCTTTGAACTCGAGCAGATTGTGGGCAGCACTCACGCTCGTCGTGGTCCCGCAGCACTTCCTTCCTCTGAGGTCCAGTCCCAGTGAGCGAGAGCAATAAACGTCTTTTGCCCACTTGCGACCTGAGAGATGCCAATCTAACCATGGCTCCAGGTGATACCTAGCTCCTATCCACAGAGGCGGGACTTTAGTTCCTATTGTAGATGTAACCTTGTAACAGTATCTTCTCCCCCTTTTTAAAAATTAAAATTACTGGGGTTGTATTGTGGTTAATAAGATCATACAGGTTTTAAGTGTACAGTTCAATAATACATCATCTGTATATTGCATTGTGTGTTCACCACCCAAAGTCAGATTTCCTCCTGTCACCATCTATCTGACCCCTTTACCCTGTCTGCCTCCCTGCTCTCCCTCCTAATACTGGCCATACCCACAGTGCCCTCCTATGGGAGATAACGGTGAGAAGTTGGGAGGGATCGCTCTATTTTTTCACAAGCCTACACACATGGCTCCAGTCTCTCCTGGGGCGATGGCGAGGGGTCCCTCACTCCTGGAAGGGTCTTGGGGACGATCGCTGAGAAGGCCCAGGCGGCACTCGCGGGCTGGCAGGGAAAGGGTGGTCAGGGCAGCAGCTGAACTGGAACAGGGCAGTGCCATTGGCACAGTTCAAGGAGCTGCCGGGCACACCCAGTGCCCCTCGGGTCAGGGAGGAAGGCGTTGGTGTCCTCGGGAGCAGAAACCAAATGGCCATGGGCCACGGAGGAGACGGCACTCTCACTGGTATGGCCTTCGGGAGGTCCCCTCCCTGAACCCCACGGACAGTTGTGAGGAGAACATAAAACAAGAAGCACACAGCAGGTACTCGGTTCCCTTCAGAGCCGCAGGGGCAGGGACACAGGTCAGTGACAGTGGCAGCCACAGGCAGGCACAGGGGACAGATTCGCAGGGGAGTCTGGTCCGTGCCTCACTCGGGCCCGCTCCTCTTGTTATTCTCAAGGCGGAAGCTTGGCAAACCCTCCTGCTCCCTCGCGTTAGGCCGCAAGCAACAGACAGGGCGTCTGGCCGACCTCCGGCCCAGGCCGTGTGCCCCTTACCCGTGTGGGTGTGGGAATGGTCCCAGTGCAGCGTCTGGCTCCCCTCGGCCACCCCAGGGCCACCCGGCGGCTCACAGGCCCCTGCCCCCAGTTGAGCTCCCGCTTCGCTTCTAGCACCGAGGGTGGCCCATCTCAGCGTCAGCGGTGATTAGACAATTTCAGGTTCCATTTGATTCAGGTTTCTTTAAATGAAAGAGTATCAATGTAATTTTTCTTGAATTCACAGAAGAAAAAGGAGCTAAGCAGAAACTGAAAGATTGATGATTTTCAGATAAATGCTTATTCAAGGCAAGGTATTTTTGATTCCGAAAACTTTCTAAAGTTAAAAAAACTATGAAAACATTAAGCGGCATACACATTTTTAAAGCTATGTTCTTGTAAGCAGATGCAGCTGTTTTCAGGTTGAATAACAGTGATTTTTAACTTTTTTAATGTAAAGGTAATTTTAAACATAAAAATCAGAACACATCACTGACTTCCAAAACACAAAAGCTAACATCCTACCTCCCATTTTTTAATTAAGAAAAATCACAGCTTAAAATACAAGGTTACTTTTGTAATTCTAATCACAGCTCATCTAAGCAGAACATCCTGTAAAAGTGACAGATCACACTTGGGAGGGGAACACATCTTTCACAGTGGGAAATGGGCACTGGAGGCCAACGTGCACATGAGCCTTAACTCGGCCACGTACTTAGTGTGACCTTGGGTAGGTGACTCTCAGGCTGCTTCATCACCTGTGAAATAAAGAAGGAACGTCTGCCTCCTGCGGTTGGGAGGGGCGCACAAGACGGTGCAGGTCTGGTACGCCTGGTTCGGGCTCGGGCTGTGCGGGTGAATAGCACCCCCACCTGAGCTTGAACCAGTGAGGCGTGCGAAGCAGGAAAGGCTCCCTTTCCCCTGGTCACGGGCTGGGGCAACAGTGGTGTCCTCAGGCTGAGTGCCGGTTAGATGGACACCTGCCTGCTCATAGGCGGTGCAGGATGGCTGCAGCCTCTCTTTGGGGGGCTGCCCCCGAACTCCCCAGGCTGGGAGGAGCAGATGGACCCTGCACCCTTGTGCAGGAGGCTGGCTGCTGCACGCCTGGCTCTTCTCCCCTTCCATTCATTCATTCGGCTAACCCCGCACCCCTTTGGAGAGGAGAAGGGGTCGAGTAAGTGGGCAGGGTCCTCAGCAAACACCCCTCCTCGGGACATGGGCGGCACAGGGGCAAATGCTCCGCCAGTGCCTGGTCTGTAGTAGGGATTCAGTGAGGAGCTGTGATGGTGACACCATTCAAAGCACTCATACACCCATGTGACGAACGAGTGCCAGGATACGAATGGGGCACTGGGGCACTGTTGCAGGTGGCGGGGCGTCGTGTGCTCCCCATCTTTACTGAGAATCGTGTGTGTACATGAGTAAATGTGAAATCGGTTTTGTCCCAGGAAAGATCTGGATGAATGTGTATCCACAGCTCACAGCATCTACCTGCTGAATTGCTGGAGATTTTCGTTGCCTCTAGCTTACATTTCTTTATCATTTGAAATATTTTTACAACATGTATCTTATGTTTTTAATGGCTAAGAATTAAAAAGATATAAAAGTAAAGCAGAACCAGACATGAGACAGGAGTGTGGTCCTGGTTTTATAAGATATTGGTGCAGAGAAAGGAGTGACGACCCCTGGTCGTTCGGTGAGTTCGCGGCAACTTTTTTCTTTAAGAAAAGAGCATAATTGAGCCTTCTATCTTAAAAAATAGTTAAAAGTAATTCTTATAAGTGGGAGAAAGGTTTTTTTAAACCAAGTTAGCGGGCCTTCGACTCAAAAGCGTTTTCGGTGAATGCCACCAGGCAGTGGTCATACATGTTGTGTCACTTGAGTCACAGAGCCACAGCGAGTAGGCTGCTGCTCCTGGAAGCTGTGTCACCAGACTAGTGGGCAAAGTCACAGACTGCGCTCAGCTCCGGTTTTGCCCAAGAGCAGTGTACGCGTGCCAGCCCCTGTCCTGCACAGCTGATAGGCTGTCCGCGAGCATAATGCGGGTGTCGCTTCCGGTTGCTGTAATAGAGTCAAAAATGGGATTTTCAACAAGAAACCTGATTTCCTATATTCCTTCTCATAGGCGACTGGTGACTCTGCCTCATCCACATGTCCCGTGGGGTGGGAGACAGGCGGGGTGCGCACATCTGTTGTCTCACTGCTGGACCTCGGTCACAGGGTCACACCCAGCTCCACGGGACTCTAGGAAATTAGTCGCCCGCTGGGTGGCCATGTGCTCACGGAAGTTTCAGGTGGGATTGCTGTCATGCAGGGACGCAGGATGCTGCTCAGTCTTCAGTCTCTGCCGCAGTTTACCCCAGTGGCCACCCTTCGTCCCACCCCAAGCCATAGTTACTACCTCTGCCCAGAGCCAGGCTCTCTGGTGGCGTGTGGCTGTCTTCAGCAGGCACCAATGCAGCTTCACTCAGTCACGCTCTAAACTCAGACAGGTCCTGGCCTCCCTGTGTGCGGTCTCCACCACCCAGCGAACGAGCTGGGTAACCGGGAGGCCGCAGAGACGCGCCCACAGGTCGCTGCCACAGTGGTTCCCTGTTGATGCGCAGGTGTGTCCTGACAGGTGGCCGCTAAAGCGAAGCAGTGCTGGGACCTGTGACCCAGCAGCCACATTGCTTGTATGCAGCCAGCAGGAGCAGGGGCCTCCGTGTAGCACAAGGTGGGTGGGGGCCATCGGGGCGGCCTTCACAGCCCCAGACTGCAGCAGCTCAGGTGTGCGGGACCGAGGGTGTGACGAGGCACGACGTGTCCACACAGGGCGGTGCTGGGCCCGGTGGCAGAGTGGACACCCTTGGGCCTGCTGGTCAGTGTTCGCAGACACCTTTGGGCAATGAAAACCTTGTGGAATTAAAGAGGTGATGGTTCCCCGACCTTAGGGATGTTCTAAAAAATACCGAATCATGCACTCTAAGATGGTGCTACGGTCCGTGAATTGTATTCCACCAAAGCTGGGCAGAGGTTGAAAAGGAGCTGACAAAAGGGAGTATACTGTGTGACAGTGTGTAAATAAATGTAAAAACGGGCGGGTGCACCTGCAGGAGGAGAGACGCCCCCTGGGAGGGGTCCCTCCGGCGCCAGGTGTGTTCTGCAGGGCCGCGGGCTGGTCGTCTCACGTGCGCACCTGCAACTTCTTGCTCAGTAGGAAGCAGCGCAGTGAAAGGATGCGCTGTGTGGCCACGGGGCACGTGTCACCTGCCACGGCGCCCCCCCTGCCCAGCTCTGCCTGGAGGCACGTGCTCGTGCCTGGTGGCCACGTTGGAAACGGGTTTTGAGGACGTGGTTCATAGTGTAGTGGTGAGCATGTCTGCTTTACACGCAGAAGGTCCTGGGTTCGCGCCCCAGTGGAGCCACGGGCCCTGGTCTGCGGTCACGCCACCCTGAACAAGCCCGATGTCTGATCCCGGAAGCTAAGCAGAGTCGGGCCTGGTTAGAACTTGGATGGGAGACCACCTAGGAAGACCAGGTGCTGCAGGTGTAAATAATAATAATAAATAATTATTTTTTAAAAAAAGCAATGGGTTTGGAGGGCATGCCTGTGTGGGGCTGCAGCAGCCCGTCTCTCCGCCGCTGGGGGTGGGGGCGAGAAGGGATTGTGGGGTGGCATCGGGGATGCAGCCCCCTGGGCGGGGGCCCCACTGGGGTGAGCTCTCAGCTGGTGCACCCGGAAGGGAGCAGGCCTAGCAGCACAGCTGGGGCCGGGACGACACTTCGGAGTGGCCACCCAGAGGCCCGGGCACGCTGGCTTCCTGTCTCTGGCCACGCTTTGGCCCGAGTGAGGTGGCCCTGCGTGACGCTGGCTCTTGAGGGGCACACGCCTGCCAGTTGTGTGGAGGCTGGCGACGTTCTCCAGGTGGGCAGACCTCGTCACGCGAGCCCTTGGAAAGCAGGGTCTTGTGCCACGGGTCGCAGAGGAAACGCCAGAGAGGGGAGGCCGCGGGTTTGCATGGAAGGCACAGGTGGCCCTGGGAGCCAACAGCCAGCAAGGAACCGGATCGAGTGTGGAGACGGGCTTTCCCAGAGCGTGCCGGCGAGGCCTCATCCCAGTGACACGTGCGTGAGCCTGAGCAGGGCCCCAGTCCTGCTGCGCTGGACTCCTGGCCCACAGTGCCGAGGCGACAGGTGTGCAGCTTTCTGCTGCTAGACTTGTGAATTGTCACGCAGCGGGGGCTGGATAAGTGCAAGAGGACCTCCCGGGTGGGGGTGCATCTTGGGGTAGGTGGGCTCCTGCCCCGAGGCAGTGCCCAGGGCAAGAACTCCAGAGCCGGATGGAGGGCATCAGGCTGAAGTGGCGGGTTGGGCGTGGCACCCGGTGACAGCATAAGGCTAACCACTGGCCGGACAGGCTTTCCCGAAAGAGCAGACTGAGTGATGCAGACCAGGTGACCGCCAGGCCCCAGAGCCCCCTGCGTCCCTGCTGGTCATTACCTTCTCCCTGGAGACGTCACTGTGGCCTGGCTTTTACACTTCACGTGAATGGAATCGTGCAGCGTGAACTCGTGCTGGCCTCCTTTTGCTCAGTGGCACCTTAGTGAGACGCTGTGTTGTCATGTGTGGCAGTTCTGCTGTCTGTTGATCCCTTGTGGGAACACCTGTCACTGTGCCCGCCCCCACCAATGGCCGTTTTGGGGTTGTGCACTGGGCTGCTGCAGGGCAGGCTCGTGGTGCTGTGGACGAGAGCAGCGGGTTTTGACCTCTGCCTGGATCGAGGACAGCTCAGCCCGTGTCACAGGGCGGGTGTGGTGTGGGCTCAGGCTCAGGCACGGGCGGGTTGGTAAACGTGGCGGGAGAAAGTGGACCTTTTGTCATCGGCTGAGAGGGAAGAGGGACTGTTGCACATTTGAGGAGAGAAGGAAGGGCAGGAAATGGGCTCGTGGAGCTGGGCAGTGCAGGGGCTGCTGCGGGCGAGGCATCTGAGTGGAGAGCTCGGCAGCGATGCTGGATCCAGCCCGACGCGTTTCCCACGCGAGGCGGGAGAGGGAGCAGAGGGCAGGGGCCTGGGGTTGACAACACAGAATGGACAGGGCGCCACTGGCCGCGGGGTCTGAGCTGGGCGGGGAGGTGGAGGGGCCTGAAGG